TGCCTTAGAACGAAATCGGGGAGATTACTTCTGCCAAATTATAAAAGTGAATAACTGTTATTTACGGTGCTAACGCGTATGTTTCATATTACTTTCTGCTCTTTTGAATCTCTTGATTTAACCTGTGAGTTCAATTTTCTTTCGTACTGTGATTTAGGAGCATACTTTATGACAACCAGTGGTAGCTGGAAGACCAGACTTTCGATTCATGGCAGGAGCTCCAAGGCACTGCTTTTTGTCAACCTTTCTCCATGGCGACTTTCATTTCTATTTAAATTCGAGTCCAGTGGATACTGGGTTCTGTAGCAAGGGATGAGGGGGCCAGAGTTTAAAGCTAACAACTCCTCTCACTGTGAACTGGACGGAGTTGAATTCCTGACGATAACGTTAAGATATTTAGCCTTTTCTTTTATAAGAAAAACGTAGGCTTATGGTATCCTATTTGTGTATTCATTTCTGACATATTTGCACCAATTTACGGAATTTAATAAAGCTTCGTGTGAATACCACGCCACTAGCGATTACGCCATATGAATTTAATTTCTTGCCATCAGTAATACCAATGTGGTGGTCATGCAAAATCTTGAGGTGGGACCGATACCAGCGCTATTGAATGCGGGGTTCTGTTGTTTTGAGTGATGGTGTAGACCTCTGAAAAATATGCAACTTTTATTAAGCACTGTTTAATATGTTAACATTAAGAACATGGCAGTGGTGCAAAATGTTGTCTTTGTATGACAAATTTAATGCACCAGTAATCAGAATTAGTGTGAGAGAAAATTTTGCACGGAAATGGCTCAGTGATTATATAATTAGTAAGTTTTAGCGCTCATTGGCTTGACTATATACAAGAATACATCATGTAAGTGAAGGTAGTAGTTGTAAATTCTTCCCAGAATTTCTTGTTGTCTGTGACATCATCATCTCTCCTTTTTCTGCGACATGTTCCAAACAGTTGTGTATTCAGAGTCTGATAGGGTTAACTGTATGGCAAACTAATTTTCGTCTTTTATGTCCTACACTGATTAGACTGCATCTCTTTTAAATTATCTCCCTACATCTCTGTATGTGGTTGGCGTGCAGTGAGGTGCAAGTTTCGGGAACGTGTCATTGTTGATTCTGTTTAAGTGGTTTAACCGTATTTCTCTCTAGCCTTCTGTTCTTCCATTTTGTGCATTCTCTTCTATAGTTTTCATTTTGTGTAATCTGGTACATGAATAGTTCCTAAATATTTTCAGACACCATTTGAATTTTGTGTGAAGCTAATTACCCACCTCCATCTACTGCTTTTGTTAAGAATGTGTGGAGTAATACCTCCACTCATCTGTATGTCTTCATGGAGTTCCCTTTAATTAAGTAAAGGGACAGCTTGACCTTTCTTATTCTTAACCCAAGTTTTACTTCCATATGAAGATGGGAGCTACATTCACTTTATAAAAGTTGAGCTTGGTCTCTATCCCTGCTTATGGTGAATCAGGGAAGAAGCAGGCCTCTATCAAAATTCATCCCTTGGCATTTTTTTTTTTCTTATTATTACTGCCTGACCAGCTGTGTGGTCCATTCAACCTCCTGTTCATTAGTCACTTGGTGTCTTTCCACAGAGATAAAATGGTCAGCTTGAAGCTCCATCTAGGTTTTGGGTTAAGAATGGTTGTGCTTTATGTGCACTCCCCTGTAGTTCTTCACGGGATGGTGCATGACAGCAGAGACGGCTTGTACATTAACTTGCCCCTATGCCCTGCAGGAAATATACAAGGTTCTGTTCTGTTCTGTTCTGTTCTGTAATATCCATTGCTGGACATCTAGGGTTAAACAATGGGAATAATAAGGGAGATTGTTATGACAGTTATAGTATCATGTTTTGGGGTAATTTGCCACATAGTAGATATATTTTTATAACCCAGAAATGAATTGTAAGAATTATCATGAAAGCTAACGCAAAGGATTCCTGTAAGGAAATGTTTAGTGAACTTGGAATTTTAACTGTTTACTCCCAATACGTTTTTTTAACTCTTATGTTTGTTGTAAAGCATAAGGATTTATTCAGAACAAATATTGAATTGTATAAAATAAATACTCACCAAAAACTGGACTTTCATGTTACTTTAGTAAGTCTGTTTTTTTTTTATTGCTAGTGGGTTGGGACTAAGTCCCTTGTACTGCAGCCACTTCTGGTTTAGTAAGTCTGACTGAAGTTCAGAAAGGAGTATATTATTCAACTCTCTGCCCCCCAGTATCAAATAAGTTGCACATGATATTAATAAATTTAAACATAAATAGAGAAAGTTTCTTATAAAAAACCCTTTTTATGCTGTTGAAGAGTATCTTGATAGGAATAATAAATTTGATCTTGGGGTATCCCAGTGATTATAGCTTTGTGTTTTAGTTTGCATTCATTGGTTTCTTACATATATTTTAATTGTTATTTATCTCATGTTAAGACAATCTTATGTAAATATTTCAATGTAATCTACTGACATTTTCTGTATCAAATGGTTATGTACCTGAATGGGTCGATGAATGATAATAAAAATAAATAATGAAAATGATGATATGGTTTTGATGAAGAAGACTTTAATGCTGCTGGTCAGGGCACCACATCAGTTTTTCTAGCAGGGTCGTGCCATAGCTCAAGCGGTTAGTCGCTGGCTTCCCACCGTGGCAGGCCATGTTCAGTCCTGGGTCTGGTCATGTGGGATTTGTGGTGGACAAAGTGGCGCTGGGGCAGGTTTTCTCTGAGTACTTCGGTTTCCCCTGCCAATCTTCATTCCACCAATTGCTCCACAATCACCCTCACCTATCATCTGGGGCTGGTACAATAGGCCAGAAATGGCTGCAGTACAAGTCCCAGCCCACTAGCAATGAAAAAAAAAGCCTTGTAATAATGTCATGCTTTTTTAATTTCACTAATTTCATTGAGGTACTGCTGGACTATTTAAAACCATTGTTTTGACTTCAGAAATTGTATAGTGTTGGCTGACATGCAGATATGTGTGAATATTGAGCAACCTGGAACTGCTTATTGAAGTCAGTAGTTTACAAACCAGTGACTGTAACACCAGTCTCATCTTTCTAAAGTCTCTGCTTTCAATAGTATTATAAATATTGCAGCTGCATAAGCTGTTGGAGTTACATTACTTTCAGTTTCTGTAGCAGAACTTCAGAAATGTATAAATACCATGAAGAAAGCAGTCTTCTGGGATTTGACACCGTGTATATGTGGTGTTAACCGTCTGCTTTTACTGGTTCTCACGGTCTCTTCACTTGCAGATTTCTTATATTTTTTCTTCTACCCTGAAGATGGAGGCGATACGTTCCTCCGAAACGTCGGTTAACACCACATATACACGGTGCCAAATCCCAGAAGACTGCTTTCTTCATACACACCGCCGTGAAAGCCTCAAATCTTCTATAAATACCATATTACATGAAATATAAGATGCACGTTTTACACATTTCTTCCCCATTGAAAAATTGAGGTGCATCTTAATTTGATGAATGTGCAACTTTCTGTTTTAATTTTCATAAAACCCACATTCAAAAACTGTACGCATCTTAAATTTGAGTGCAGGTTATATTCGAAGTAATACGGTATTATTAAAGTCATTGAAATGTAAAATAAGAAGTTGGGAATACACAAAATATGGATCTGCGTTTCAACGTAATAATAAGCGGTGAACTGATGTGATTTATTCATCTCTGTACTGCAGCATGGGTCATATCTTGTCCTCACCAGCACTTTCTCATTCATCTCAAATATATTCTTTTTCCTGTCAGTAAAATGTAAAAAAAAAAAAAAGGTAAAGCTGTCCCTGTAACAGGCCATGAAGGCCCATAGGGTTGTGAGACTTTGAGGCTCCCACATTTTCTATGATAGTTCGTGCACAGGTGGCGGTGAGGTCATCAGCATTACGTGCTGTCTGTTCTTTATCCCAAGGAATATTCTTGGTACTCATTTCTATTAGAGGCTGAGTGGACTCCAGAGCCATAGTGCAGTTGTAAGGATTGAATGAATTAAAAAATCCAATGGCCTCATCAGGAATCGAACCCATGACCTTCCAGCTGGTAACATAGTGCCTCAACAAACTATACTACCATGTGTCCCCGTCAGTAACATATACCTTTATCAATTTTGCTTTTGGTCTCCCACCATATGTTCATCAGACATATTTATTGGACTGTACATTGTGCATCCCAGTAAAATACCTAGCCCTATTTTACCAGTCAACTCTAAATATGTTGACAATATTTGAGTCATTGAAAGCTGAATATAACCCTTCTTTATGTCATGTCTTCTTCACCATTGACCATTCTCATCCTTTCTGGGTGTGCATGTCATCAATTAATGCAGCTAGAGACATAACATTTATTATGTACAAAGATAACTGACATGTAAGATTGTGGACGAACCTTCCTTTATAATGCAAGGAAGTAGCAATACAATGCATGACAAGGCAGATTTTTGAGGTCTTGAATCCCATAGTCCCATATTTTGAGTGCAGAATATGAACTGTGTCTGGAAATACTGTGGTCAGACACCATGAGTTGAAGTAAATAGGGAATGTAAAATATTATCACTGTTACAGGCCACCTAACACTGTAAGTGCAATTAATTCAGGAAGTAATGGGCTTGAAGTGAAACACAAAAGACATGCAGATTTTTGATGGGAAATTTGCCAGGAAGAAAATTAATAAGGGGAATGAAGAAATAAATGCAGATTTTGGTGAACAGCCATTTGAAAAGTCTGAGAAATTGGATGTGATGATTATATTAAAGTGGGTCTTGAAGATGTAGAGTATGTTATGATATTGTGAACTGGGTTCAGTCTTATTCAGGATAATGTCCAGTGGCGGGATATGAATCTGTTGAATACTGTTGAATCATTAGGTTTTATTTTCAGTGAGTCAGTTTGTATTCTGGAGAAATGGAAGTCATCCTTTAGAATTATAGGGCTAATAATGAAGTGTTGCTTATAAATAAATGGCTTGTTGTGTTTCAGAATCCTGTGGCACATTGCTGGTCCGAGCAGACACACCAAAAACGCAAGTTCTGTAACGTTTGCCGCAAAAGACTGGATGACAGTTTATCCATCCACTGTGAGGGTAAGTATGTAGCAGCCTTTGAGCTAATTTTGTATGCTCCTTTGCCTCTGATGTGTGCCTATAGCAAAAAATACACATTGTTTCTCTTGTGATGTGTTGGCGATGAATCAAGTGGAAACAAAATCACGAAAAGCTGGAGATTAATGAAGCAGTTTTATGATTTTTACAAAGATTTCTTTTTGGGTATTATAATATTGTAATATTCCACAGATTTTTGCCAATTTGGAATTGAATTTTCAATATGCCTTACATTTCATTCAACAGATGTCATAGAAAACTTTCTTCAGCTGAAATTGTAATAGAAAATTTCTTATAATCTAAGGTTTCGAGGTTTTCATGGCAGCGATTGTTTAGATGGGAGTTTCTGTGTTCTTAGTGGCTCTGAAGTGGACCATTTTTCTCTTTACCATTCATATTGGCCTGGTTCAAGTTCTGTGACCTCTCCCACCTGACATGAATCTAAGTGACCAAACTGTTATTTCCTGTTTGTACACACTTCAACGTTGAAGATGGAGGCATTGTATTGCTCCAAAGTGTTGGGATCCACCTACAGGACTAATTACTTTATCATATGAAAATCCTTGGGTCCTGGTTAGAGTCCTGGAGCATCAACATAGGTTTGAGACTTTATAATACCATACCTTTCTTGGCCTTTCTGAGAATTTGTGGATTTCACTTGATGCAAAATAAGTCAGCTTCTAGGCATTTGTGCATGGATGTAAAAATACTTAAATCCTTGTTACAACATGTCATTTTTTATACTCAGAATATTAAATATAATGTGACATGACACCTGAAAGCTGGAATAGTGGAGCTAGAGTAGACGTTCATTACTAGGCTTCAACTTGGTAAACAGGTTCTCTCAGCAATGAATAAACAAGCAGCAGTTGAGGTATTGTTGAGCTATAACGATGGAAACGGTATTTTCTGTTATAACCAACCCGAGGCTATGTACTGAGGATCTGAGACCAGCTGAGATAGAATTGAGGGAGCCCCTTGAGATGGCCATCAACGTTCATTGAGAAGAAATGGTCAGAAAGGAATTAGGCTGCGTGAAGAAGACTTCATGTGGGTTGCAGTTACAGTGAGACTGGTATAATTACTATGCTGAAATCCATTGCCAGGATAGTGAAGGCTGAGAACCCCAGAGTTTGTGTAATGGTGAACTGTAAAATGTGTAGATTAGTGATAGTGCTGTATTACTTGTGGTTAAGAATTGAGTGTATGAGGTCAGTAAATCCAATCATCCATTTCAAAACTCTGCAATCAGTCACACATCCCTAATACATGTAACAGTATAATTAATTGAAAGATTCAAAAATGAATTCCTCACACCTGTTGCTGAACTTTTGCATATGTGTACTGCATTTTGTTGACTATTAAGTGAAATATTTATTTTTTCACTTGATGACTGTATACAGGAATGAAATTGGATAATCACCCAAATGTAAGGTCCCAGAAATACAGAGTATAGGGTTCATTAAAAAGAAACTCAGGCTGTTGGAATGTAAATCAGACCTTAGCGACGAACTGGTACATAATGTTTTCCTTAATTGACTTTCAGTAACTGAGCTATTGGAAGGGCCTCAGTTGTCATGTGGTCTTACAAACTGAGCCCTACCTACTATGTCAGTGTAAGGTGGAAACTGCCTGTGCTAGTCAGTGCAAGATCTTTAAATTTTGTATGGTAATAGATCTCTCAGAACTGTTTGCAGATTTATTAAGGTAATGGTAAATAATGATATACCATCAACGTGCAGTATTTTAATGTTATGAAAATAATTTTTGAAACTTATGAAATTTGGAAATTGTGAAATATAATAAATATATCCACTGGTAGACAGATGGTATAGGAACCAGGAAAATCTAGTCTTTCAGAACCCAAAACTGCACCTTGACCATGATCATTGCTTTCAGTGTATAATTTAAATATTTATATACATACCTTGTTCACTTCCTCAGTTTCTGTCATCTGAATTACTTACAAATTCTTAATCTCTTATTTTTCCAGTATGCGAGTACTATGTGCATACAGACTGCCAGGATTTTGCCGTAGCAGAGTGCAAGGAGAACGCAACGTACCTGCCAGACAAGGATCTGTCATTAGTGCATCACCAGCATCACTGGCGTGAAGGCAACCTTCCTAGCAATTCTAAATGCATTGTGTGTAAGAAGACTTGCTGGTCAGCGGAATGCTTAGCAGGGTTTCGTTGTGAATGGTGTGGTATGACGGTAAGCATTATTGCTTGCATTCAGCTGTTCTAGATCAGTGATCTGCCAGTAAAAATTTGTTGTGGCTATATTTTTGAACAGAATATTTGCTGTTGCCACATTCAGAATAATTTAGCTTTGCTTTCTTCAAGAGCAGAGCCATTTGCCATTGTTCGTTCATAAAGAGATGTAAATTGACATTGACATGTTCATAAACATGATATGTGCTGTGATCACATTTATGAATACAGAAAATCAAGTCTGACCACATTAAGTTTTAATTAATATTTTGTAATGCATACTCTAAAATACATAAATAGTTAAAATCATTACATGTTAAAAAGTATTTAAGTAGTGAGTTTACTCCAGGACATGAGGAAAGGACCTCAATATTGGACTGAAAGCTGATAGCATTTCAAATGTTGTTATGTGTTCTGACTTCTTAGTATGCTTCTGGGAAGTAAGTTGAGGCTGCACACATGACCGTCACTGCTTTAGCTGTTGTGATGATAAAGAGTGTGGAGTTTCTATAACTGATAACTGTTGCTTATGGCATTGCCCTGCTGCCACTTCTCATCCACCTCCTCCTCCTTACTACTACTACTACTACTACTACTACTACTACTACTACTACCATTGCCATTGCCGCTGCCACCACCACTACTACTGTTATTATTATGACTTTCTAGTGGCATTGTATAATGTGCCTAGGAAACTTGAATTAGCTTTCTGATTTGGAGCACTAAGCTTAATATGAACCTGTCTGACTGAGTAAGATATGAGGTTCTCACGGAAATGTTTATGAAGAGGTCTGTCTTCTAGTATATAACACTGTGTAGTCTGTTGAAAGTTGGCTGATATTTTGGAGGAATATGTCGCATTTACCTTCAGGGTTGAAGAATAAACCAAGTTTATTATTCTTTCAGTGGACTATTTATTTATTTATTCTTTAAATTCAATAAATCCTTTTGCCCAAGCCTAGGATGTAGAACAAGTCACTATTAAATCAAAACCTACACAAGAACAGTTCATAAAATAGAACTCAGTCACATACAGAACAGTCTTAAGACAAAATTGTACATAGGGATAATCAAACCACAAAAAAGTGGAAATTGTTCAAGTTATAATCAACTGAACTATAACCTGTAAAAGCTTACACAACACAACCATAACATATACATTTCACAAAATTTCAATATTAAGGTATACCAAAAGATCAATTAATGAATACAAATATAAAATATGATAATTACATATATCTTATGAGATAAAATAGATCCATTAAGGAATACAAATATAAAATATGATAATTACACATATCTTATGAGATAAAATAGCTGAAGATGACATTATAGATATTTTTGGTCCTAGTATGGTTACTTATTAATACAGGCAATCAGCTGAGCACCCAAATCCAGTAAGATGTACACCCATCAGGTAAGATGACAGAAAAGACAAAAGGTTGACGCAACATAATAAGTTATACATTAAAAACCATACAAAAGGTGTCAAGATTACCGTCTCTGTCATACTTGTATTGAAAATATTCATTTATAAAATGTAGTGTTATGACCCAGAAGCTAGAACTCTTCTCTCTGACAGCTGGATAGGAGAATATAACAGATCTAACTCGTATCCTGGAGGTACCCAGTGCTTTTGTCCTACACTGAATTCAAATTTGATTTATAATTTCTGTACAAAACACAACTGATGTTAACCTTCATCTCCCCAAATTCACATTGTATTTACAAGATATAATTAATTCTGTAATGAAGAGAAGGCAAGGCAACTACCTAGGCCCACCCATGTGCACTGTGCAAACTGAATGATTTTTGGACAGCTGTTACTGTTGTCGTTGGTACAGTGAAGCTCATTGCGTCTAAATGAACAGCAGAATGGTCAAGGTTGACCAAGTCTGTACAACATTTGCCTCATCTCTTTGTTGGAGAATAATACATACTGCAAGGCTTTTGAGCCATTGTATATAATTGCCATTGGCAAAGGTAGAAATAAAGTTGTCCCTATGCACCACACCATGAAGGTATATAGAGTTGTGTATATAAAGCTTCATACATTCTTAACTTTCATTCTGTATTGGCTAGCTTTATCCTATATCTACTTTATCCATAGTTGAATGGGAGGCTGCATGGAATCTCTTGGTTTTACAGTAGTAAGTAATGAACCAATGGAGTTGGGCATCTGAAATTTGGTGTGGAAATAGATTGATACACATGACTACAAGTTCCATATTAAATATTATTTTTAAATTAGTAACTTATAAAAAAGAAACATGGTGTGAACCTTTGATGCTTTATGCAGCATGTTTGAAGTTCCTCCCAAGACGAAAATAAATAAAGAAATGACACTTAATGCGTTCATGAAATCTGTTTGTAACAGCTAGGGGCATTCAAAATATAAGAGTGCAGAGAATGCATGTGGGAACTCCATGATTTCTGATACAGAGTACACATTTTTAATTTTGTTTCTATTTGTCTGTTCCTGTAGCAAGTTTGAGTTTTGTATAAGGTCATAAGGTCAATACAGCAATATAACAGTTCTGTTATGGCCCTGAATTGGCCACAAATAGGATCTCAAGACTCTCAGGCTCATATTTTTGATATTACAAAATTCTTTTGATCATCCTGTGCACTAATGATAAATCAGAGGACTGTAAATAAAATTATTGAGAGAAAGGTCTCTGCTTTTCTCTCAATCTTTGGAGTAATGCTAGGGTGCTGGCTCTTCATTGTTGTGATTTGTATTCATTCATTCATCAGTTATCTGTCAGACAACAGGTCCACAGTCTCTTCCAAAACAGTTCCTCCACTTAATGTGATCTAGAGCTTTCTCCTTCAAATGAGAAAATCCTCTTCTGTCCCCAAGGTCATCCAGCATCTTCTTACGTCTTCTTCCTCGTCTTCTGGTCACTTCTATCCGCCCCTCTGTCTTTCCTTCAATAACTTCTTTTAGGAGGCAGTTTCTGCATAAGATATGACCAATCCAATTAGCCTTCCGTTTTCTTATTTCGTGTAGGATATTCCTCTGCTCACTGACTCTAAATAACACTTCTCCATTCTCACATAATCGGTCCAACTTATCTTCTCCATCCTTCTCCAACACCACATTTCGAAGCTTTCCAGGTGTTTCTGATCTACTGCCCTAAGTGTCCAGGTTTCAGCCCCATACAAAGCCATGCTCCAAATGTAGCATTTCACTACTTTCTTTCTCAAATTTAAGTCCAATTTGCTAGTAAAAAGCTTCTTGCTTAATGCAGCTTTTGCCATGGCAATCCTAGATTTAATTTCACAAGTACACCTTCCATCATCTGTTAACAAGCTACCCAAATAGCGCAAAATTTAAACTTGGATTACCCTTTAATTATGAAGAATACTACTGTATCATCTGGGATGTGAAGTTATGTAGTCAGTATGCTTACTTGCTTGCTTGGCTTGCTATTTGACCTGAAGATGGAGGTAGTACAGTACTATGAAATATTTGAAAATTTATGTCATAATTAGGGACTGGATTTTTATGCCCTAATACTCCTTTAAATATGTATGCATTTATGCATGAAAAACTTCTGAAATATGCACATGAAAATTTATACCAAATATTAAAATTGATTTTACACATACATTATTTTAAGACCAACAAATCAATATTTAAGTTCATTTTATGTAATCACTGAATGATTCACTTGCAATAAAAAGCTATGCTTAAATACAAATCATGCAACAAAGCCAACATATTTCATTACAAATTTAAAAAACCAATGGTACTCACATTTAGCTCTCCAAACTTTCAACTTCTCTTCTGTTGCAGTTCACAATTACTACATGCTTTAGGTTTTCCATAGTTAGTCGCCTGCTATTGTCTCGTAAGATGTCCTTATAGTGAGTAAAACTTCTTTCCACCTCACAGGAACTTAGGGGCGCATGTACAAAAGCTGCTATTTGCTCCACTGTTAGTGATTTTTTACTTGGCATTTCAGTACGTTTACCGGCTAAAATTTCTTCAGTTTCACAGATTTGTTCATATCCTGAATTTTTTGAAAGAATGCTGTGTACTTTTGCCTTTACTACCTCACCAACTCTTCCAGAAACCGAATTCAATTTGGAAACAGTGGTTTTGACCACACTTAATGACTGATACAAAGTAGTATTGCTATTGCTTGCCTCCAGTGAGGAAATGGCGGATGGAAGATGAGAGAAGTGAGCAGATATATAGGAAAGATTAGTTTCTAGTTCTGCGTTTTTTTCTACATCTTGGGCAATTTGAATTGATGCTGCACTTTTGGGATCAAATGTATTCATGACATTCCTAACTGTTTCTAAATGTTCGGTATAATAACTCGCTGCACACAGCCATGTGCCCCAGCATGTTAAAATTGGTTCTGGCGGAAGTGGAACGCTCGGTAGCACTGCTTTAAAGGCTTCTTTTCTGTGTAGTACTTTAGCAAATACCTTCTTCACAGAAGACACCAACATGTCAACAAGAGGAAAATTTGCAGGAATTGTTTCTGCAACATGGTGCAACCCATGGGCAAGGCAAGTCAGATGTACCATATTTGGAAATGTAACTTTAAGAGCAGTGCCAGCTTCTATCATATAACTTGCGGCATCAGTCACAAAGAGCAATACACACTCATACTGAATGCCATTCAGCCATAGTAAATTCATGGAATTTATAAAAAATTTGGAAACTGTGGAGCTATTTGTGGTTTCAAATTGCTCTACCGCAAGAAGATATGGGGTAGATCGTTCATTCTCATTAAGGAATCCAGCTATACAATTTGTAATAAACCGTCCCTCACAATCTTGTGTTTTGTCGATTGATACCCACACAAAATTATCTTGAATCTTATCTCTAATGCTTTCAGTTGTAAAATTGTAATGCTGCTTCACGTAATTTTTGCGCACAGTAGATTCATCTGGCACTTTGCACTGTTTTTACTTCTCTATGAAGTTTCTCAGAGTAGGATTGGTTAGTCTCCACAGTGGAATATCTGCTGCTAAAAAGGCTTCGCATAAGTCAAAGGAAAAATGTGAAAAACTATTGTTAGAAAATTCACTAAGCAATTTTTGAACAGGAGCACTTTTCATGGATTTAATTTTAATATTCTCATTATGTATATTAGTGTTCAAATGCTGCAGCACTTGAAAGCGTTTTTCACAACCAACTGTTTTCTCACATGCTGGGCAATAAAGAACTTCCTTATCCGTACTTATCATCTCTCCTTTGAACTCCCACTGATACATCTGTATTTTAATTTTCTGACTTACTTTCACTTTCGGCATGAGTACAGAAAGCTAAACAAACTTAACTACAGACTAGTCACCACTAATGTGAATGGCCCCCAGCTTCAAATGAAGAAGCGTAACGAACCACATGGAGACTTCGGAAATAAATAAGTGAAGTCCCTTCTCGGTTGAATAGTATTACGTTGATAGCGGCTGCATGTGAACGCTTCCGACTAATCTCTTCGCGACCACTTTGATGGTACGCGGATGAGGCAAGTTACATGTACAGGGATCGGGGAAGTCCCATCCTGGGTATCGCATCAGAAACATGAATCATGACAAAATGTTAAGTCAAATATGCAACATAGTCTAATACGGAAAAGAAAAATTTTATACACACGACCTTGATTGGAAATTTGAACATAAAATTAAAAAATATATATGATAAACATTTTAGAAAGGAAATATGCAGTATAAATAGAGATCTTCGAAAATATGATGCTTGTTCATAAAACAGGCAAAATATGCATTTATATGCATCATCAAACCCTGTCCAAAATTTAAGAAATGAAGTAATTCATACATGTATTGAAACTAGCATACTTTCTGGTTGCAAGAAATAAATATGCATTTGCATTAAAATCCGGTCCCTAGTCATAATGCATGGTGTCACATCTCAGAAGTTAGTATTCTTTGGAGTCACTTATCTGAGATCCCCAAAGTTGTGTGGAACACAGTTTGGGGCAACTTATTTGCATATAATTTGCTTATAGTTTAATTGCTCATTCTTCTTAGAATAGAACACAAAGGTTTGGTACTGAGCTACAGCTCAGCTATATATATACACGTAGTTCTCAGACACCTTTTTCACAAGGAGCATCTTAGTGTTATCCTCCCCTTCCTTTTCATATCCTTTCAGGCATCCTCCAAGTGGCTGCTTTTCAAGATGTTTCCTCACCAAAATTTTGTGGGCATTTATTCTCCATTCTGTCTTAAAGATACTTGTAACCCAGTGTAACCTCCTTTATTTTACCACCATACTGGCATGTCTTTCTCTTCTCCTCCTAGCATCATTTGCACAAAGGTCTACAGTTCTTTCTTTCCATAGTCTTTCCTCTTCAATTTCTTGCCAACTATTTCCTCTTTACTTGATGTCTTCCATTGCTTAGCTAAACCTTGTCCTGGGCTTGGTCTCTTTCCTTTAAATTTTAATTCTAATGCTGAATGCTTATCAGTACTGCATTGCCCTCATTTTGCTTCCACACTCTCTGTTTCATTTCCTCAGAATCATGAGATGCCCCATTGCTTGTGTGCCATATCATTTCTCAAACTGTGAAAATGATTCATTTGTGTGATGAATGATCAAATGGTGCAAAATACTGTTTGTATTGTATGGAATTCTAGGATTCCATCCTAAAAGATTTTTTTCCTGGCTTAAAGAAATCGTTTTTTATTTGTTGATACAAGGAAAGGATCTGAAAATGTGCTGTATACCCACAGACGGTAATGATAAGAGCCAGAATATTAGCATAGTGACTTTTAATTTCCTTTGCCAGATCTTGATTGAAACAAAGTTGATCATTACTTAGGTTGTTTATATGTTTCTTTAGAAGCAAATGCTGGATGAAATCTTAATATTTTCCATAACTTCCTCATTACAAATCCTTACCTGTTTATCATTAATAATCATCTTCCCATTTCATAATATGCTATATAACCTCTAGAAACATTAGAAGATAATCCTCCAGCCATCTGGAAGATTAGATTGTGGCATGTGTAGCAGCACATATCTACCTCATTGGCATAGTTAGTTCTTTGGTAAGGAAAGATTTAATTATCTTTGTTTGCATTTCATTCAGCAATCTTCATATTCAGAATTATCATTCTAAAGGGTTTTGTGTTTAATGTGGTAAGTTTGAGAGAGATGGCTGTGTCAGAAGCTTTTATCCTGTTGCAGTCCCATGCAGTGTGTCACAAGCAGATCACTGGAGAATGTACATTTGGAAATCTGGAACCTATCTACCTGCCCCCCCATGCTGTCAGCATACCTCGCACTGAGGTGCCCATGGAGGCCATCATTGGGGTGCAGGTTCGGCGTAGAGAGACCATGTCCCGTGAGTATTCATGCCGTAAGTGTTGCTGTCAACTAACATATAGATGACAAAAACAAAGAATGTTGTGATAATAACAATATAGTTGTGGTGACTGCAGTGGATCATTGGACAGTGATAGTCCACCATCAGATTTATGTTATTTTCTGCATCTCATATCTTTTATATGCATATTGTAGCAAATCCTTAGCATTACTACTGCCAGATCTATAGCTACAGGTTGCGCAATCAGTGCCAGACTGTTTCATGAAAATTAAGTAACATTTTTGTGTCCAAGATAGGAAGTGTAAAATACTGAAAAACAAACATTTGGTTATGTCATTTCTTAACATATTTATTAATGATATACAGTAGAAATACAACCTTTCCTCAATTAATGATTTTACTCATGAGGAAAAGGTGAAGAGATTTTTTTTGTGTGTGTGTGAGATTGCATCCTGCTTGTGTCCATCATTGAAGGTTTTTGGGTTATTCATCACAAACTGTATCATAACCTTATGGTTTATTCCACACATCATGTTTCAGCCTCTTAGCAGTCATCATCAGATGCGACACTTAAATATATTAAAAATCCACATTGTAATGCAGCGAGTAATGAAATATATACTTGAGTAAAGGTGTGAGAAAACTGTAAGATACTGTTTTACTAATATACATGATCATGTAAAAATTTTAGTCAGGTCTGACAATTGATAGTATTTACACCTTTACTTATGTATATATTGTTCATTGCATTACAATGTGTATTTTAAATATATTTGTATGTTGCACCTGATGGGTGACATGTAGTCTGGAATAAACTATAAGGTTTTGATACTGTTTGTATGACTGTTTACCTGGAAACGTTGAATGAGGTAAGGTAATTGTAATCTTTCTATAGTACATTAACACTGTAATCCCATACTTCTCAACAGGAATTAAAATCATGACTCTGTTAACAGCTGTTCTAAATTATGATATTTGTAGACACTATTTAAGGAATAATATACTGGATATGATCATCAGTATCAGTTAAATTTAAATCATGTGTCAAACAAGTTATTTATCCCCTTTTCACTTATTTATATTTATCACTGTGTCCACCAGTAGTGTTATTGGTTGTCAACTTTGCACTTCTGTGCACTGTCAGTAGGAACTGAAACATAAACTCATCTGATCAGCTCCATATGAAGAGGCATTTAAAGTTGAGCTGGCTAAAACTACAACTAATCCATTAGAGTACCAAGTCATTTTTGTGGCTTTTATGCATGCTCTGTTCTTATGAGTGTACTTGAAACCTGCCACTGCATTTCTGTCTGTATCCCACAGTTGTGCCATGCATGTTGATATGTTGTTGCCTTATTTGTTAGGGCTTCAGCTATGATGTGTATGTACATTGTGTTTATACCTTAATTCTAAATCTATACACCACTATATTTTGCATGGTCTGTTTATTTTTTAATTTAAGTTAAATTTATTCTGTAAATCATGACATTCTATTCAATTATTTTAAGAAATTTGCAGACACCATTGCATGATTATGTTTTGTTTTATCTCACAAGAAGAAATGAAAATGTGTAGTTATGGTAATGTTTTGCTTATCATAATATTGGTTTCTGAAGTCATTATTAAATTCACTTATAAGAAAGGGTTGCACTGTTTAACTTCTGACTGATTAGTCGTTTAGTCTTGAGATATAATGACATTTTGTTGATGTACAATCAAAATTGGTGAAGTTATAGAAGTATCTAGAATGTATACACATTAATTCTGTTTTCTTTAGTTTGGTAGATTCTTATTAGTTAGTATTTGAACATTGGATTTTGAAGGAAAACATATACTACATCTTAGTTTAAAAATAATACCAGTGAGGATAATATGGAACTTGACCCACCAGTGAAAGGCTTTTGGCACATAAACTCTGTAATATCCCTGTAAATGAAACAAGTATAAGAACACTTTGTCTTGTGTTATGATGCATTTTAGGGTTTTGAAGCATTAGGACCTGTAGGATTTAGTAGCACTTGTATTCCCAGTAAGTGATCTGATACAAGGAGATGCTTCATTGCCATTTTCAATTTTGATTCAGAATATACCAAGGAGGTCCAAGAAAAGCAGGAGGGATTGAAATTGAATGGGAAATCAACTTTTAGTCCATGTTGATGATAGTAATTTTTTTGTAAAAAAAATATAAATGCTGTAAAAAAAAACAAGCTCTAATAGACATTAGTAAAGATGTTACTGTAGGAGTAAATTCAGAGAAAACTAAGTATGTATTGATGCCTTGTAACCAGAAGACAGGACAAAATTATACACAATGAAAAGCAATAGATCCTTCGAAAATATTAAGAGAGGTAAGGTAAAGTCCCTGTGCTTAACTAATTAAGCACTATTCTTGAAGGCATATGGGGGATTGGATGTATAGATCCACATTTTCTTGACCTCGGCACTAGCTGGAAGTGGGTGGTCATCTCCACACAGTGGCCACTTTATTCCCGGGTAAAGTGTTCCTGGTACCCATTAGACGGGAGGTTGGGTGGACTGCAGATCCAGTCTGGACGACATAGAGAAGAGAAAATTCTTGACTCTGCAGGGCATGTACCATTCATTGAAGAGACCACAAAAGCACACAGTATTATAGCATGTAGACCTGTTGCTAATCAGTGACTCTGTAAACAGTGGCCATTGTTAAGCAATGCCCACAACATACATGCACACAAGAATAGAAGAGCTGTGTTTTCTGTCAGTCTGTGCTGAGGGGTTACAAGTGTGATGAAGTTTAGAGCTTAGTTCAGTTGTAGGATATTCTCCAGACAGTAAGGATATAATCAGAGGACAGTGTCAAGATCCATTACCAGGAAAAGACTATGAAGATAGAAGACTTTATGTGTGCTGCAGTTATAGTGATCTTTGGAGAGTGTAAACCAGTGAGGCCATTATAGTTACTTGTAGTTATGAGTTGTGTGTATAAGTGGTCCATAAATCAGGGTCACCAATCTGAATCCTATCTACATGGTGCGTCATAAAGAATGGATGGATTTTACAGGGCAGTAAAGTTTTAAGGCTTCATCAAATCCAAATTTTATTGTTACCATCAGATTTTCCAATACATGTAGCTTATTTGTAGAATACAGTATCATCCATATGACGTCCTTGGCTTCTGATACAGACGTCAAGGCGTTTTCTGAAGTTATTCATCACTCTCGCTGTCATATCTAGTGGAATCACCGCAATTTCTTCTTGAATCACTGTCTTCAGCTTGTCCAGTGTACGTGGTCGATGTTTGTAAACTTCTGCCTTTAAATAGCCCCAAAGGAAGAAATCACAGGATGTAAGATTGGGTGAACATGCGGGCCAAGGAATGTCACCACAATGCTAGATGATGTGCCCTGGAAAGAGCCCTCTCAGGAGATCCATTGTTAGTCACGCAGTGTGAGCAGTGCTCCCATCTTGTTGAAATCAAATGTCCTCAGCATCAGCAGCAAGCTCGTTCAGCCTCGGTTGCAGGAAATTTTGTAACATTTCAACATAACAAGCACTAATAATGGTTACTACACGGCTGTCCTTCTCAAAAAAGTAAGGCTCCCAAACACCAAATTCTGCTACAGCACACCAAACAGTTACTCTCTCACTGTGAAGAGGTCTCTCGTGCAGTTATTTAGGATTGGTCCCTGCCCAATACCAGAAATTCTGTTTATTTACACAGCTGGATAGGTGGAAATGGGCTTCGTCACTGGTCAACAGAACGGCAGTAAGGGGCATGCTCACAAGAATATGCTGGCAACTGTTAACATGATTCTCCCAGTCTCCTGCATGAAGTTCTCGCACAATTGCCATATTGTAGGGGTGAAATTTAAGGTCTGAATGCAAAATGTGTCTTACCATAGCGTCGGATAATCTCAGAGTAACAGCATGTTTGCAAGCTGATCGTTGAGGTGACTGGACAACTGACTGCCTTACTGCATCCACATTTGCAGGTGTATGAGCGCTCCATGGCTGTCCAGGTGATTTCTTCTTTAAGGTTGAACCTGTGGTATGAAATGAAGCCACCCACCACAAAATTGTGTTCCGAGTAGGGATCCTATCGCCACGTGCGAGCTCGAAATGAGTGCCGAAGGCTCATTGAGTGGCGATCACATACTGTCTATTTTTCAAAAACATCTCTACAACGAACGCACGCTGTGCACCCGACCACTCCATGTTACCAATTGAAACTGCATTTTCCTGCCGACCCAACCGTCAGCCCCCCGCTCTATGCCTCCCCCCATCGCGGCTTAATGGTTGCATGAAATCCATCCATTCTTGTATAATCACCGTTTTCAAAGATGAGTTGGCAATGTGCCACTACTCATGAAACTGAAAAAATTGTAGAAAGGTATGATGACATCTCAATTAGAATAATTAAACTGAGTGCTCCATACATAATTACACCATTAACATATATTTATAATGCTATTTTGAGTACTGGTGTATTCCCAGATACATTAAAATATACTTTGGTTAAGCCTTATTTTAAAAAAGGAAACATACAAAAATAGCCAATTACAGGCCTATATCATTGCTGATTTCTTTCTAAAAAATTATTGAAAAACTCATTTTCTCGAGATCAATTGCACATATTGCAGTGAATGATATTTTGGCTCCTGAAGAGTATGGATTTAGGACTCATCTTTGACTGAGATGGCAGCCTTCTTACTATTAGACAGTCTTCTTACAGCTATGAATGTATTTTTGTTCCTGAACAGTATAGATTTGGCACTCCGCTTTTGACCGAGAAGGAAACCTTCTCACAATTAGATAGTTTTCTTACAGCTATGAATAATAAGCAGGTTGTGGCTGGTGTTTTCTGTGATTTGCAAGAGGCTTTTGAATGTGTCAATCATGAAATGTTATTGGATAAACTCGAATTTTATGGAATAGGAGGTACTTTCAAAAAATTAATTAAATCATACTTAATTGGTTGACGTCAAAGAGTTGTACCGGTCAGTACAAATAATAGTAATAAAATATCCAAGTGGGAAATAATCAAACATGGAGTT